GATATTAATTTTAATTAAAATAATTAATTTGGATGAATAATTAAATATTTGATACCAATAGATATTTAGTTATTTCAAAAATTATTTTATTAATGCAAATAAATATTTATTTAAATTAAAAAACATGCATTATTAAATCAAGTAATTTTCATAATTGATTTAAGGGGACATTCCAGTTCAAAACAGGAAAAAAGAAGGCTTTTTTAGTATATATTATTAAAATAACTATGACATTTATTTAAAAAAAATTTTTTACATGTAATAAATAATTTATTTAAGAATTTGTAAAAATTTTTTTTTATTTTTATTTCAAAATGGCGGCGATATTCGCCATTTTCGAAAATGCCCATTCTCTTCGTTAGATAATTCTTTAGGTGTGGAACCTCAAAAAAGTGGAATTTTCTTCCCCTCCTTTTTTTAGAGTACTTTTTCCCTAAAATATGCGAAAAAAGGTGTTTTTATTCAGAATTTCTCTTATAAAAAATGGGGAGTTGGAAATTTTCCAGTTTTTGAGGTTCCACTTATAGGCATGATGAAGCTGAATCAAAAGCCGTTTGATTTTTTTAAATCGCTTCAGAAGAACTCGAGATATCACTCTTACCAGATCAAAAAAAGACATTTTCAGAAAAACGCATTTAAAGTTTTTGTTCATAAGTTTCGAAATTTTTTTTTAAAATTCATCGGATTTGCTTGAAAATTGTTACTCGGAGGTTTTTGAGGTCGCTAATTACGAATATGGAATCAGATTTTTAAAATTCAATATGGCGAATACAATATGTCGGACACTTTTTTTCAAAATCATTGGATTTGCTTGAAAATCGTTACGGGGGGGTTTTTGGGGTCGCTGATTACGAATATATGACATCATTTTTTCAAAATTAAAATGGCTGATGCAATATGGTAGACAAAAAAAATTAAACGAAAAAAAAATTAAAATAAAAAAATTTTCTTTTCCGCCATATTAGATCCGCTATTTTGAATTTTGAAAATTTGATATCTAATTTGTGATCAGCAACACCAAATGCATTTTTGTTTTTCTTTTTTAAAAAATGCAAATGAGAAAACATTTAAATCATTCGATTGCTTATCCGCATACAAAAACATCTTTGACATGGCGAAGAATAATGATGTATAACTTTTGTTTTACTTCGAATTTTGCAATAATAATTTAGGAAAGTATTCTTCATACTATAAGAAATCCGAAAATAAAAACAAAGAAAATCGATTTTTTTAACATTTTGAACTGGAATGTCCCCTTAAAGCAATATTTATTAGATCCAATTATTTCATTTATTTGACTTAAGTAATTCGTGATTGGTTTAAATAAATATTTATTTGATACTTTAAATCAAAATACTTATGTACAGTAAAATTTACTTAGTTCAAATAAACATTTAATGGATAATAAATAATTAAATCATTCAATTGAATCAAGTTTTTTTTAATGTAGAGAGCATAATTAATCTTTTTAAAATTAGTTGTTTATATGTGAAGATTTAATCCCCCTTTTCTAAAGGGGTGGTCCATACATCACGTCATATTTCAACTTGCAGAAAAAATAGCGCTAATTTATGTAATATGAAGGAGGGGAGGGGCCAAAAATAGTGTGACGTAATATATGGATGGCACCTATTTTTATTTATGACTGAGTTTTCATAACTTTTTGTAATTTAAAGTAATTTTTTATACTTCATTTTCTTCGAAATAATCAATTTGTGGATTTTTCAAAATTATATGCATTTCAGAACGCGCTACAAAACTAAGTAAGAACCTTTCTAGGTCTCTTTCTAGGTCTCGAAACATTTAAATATTATTAAAAAAATATTTGCTTGGTTCAACTAATTTTAATTTTGCTCAAACCCAAGTAGTATTATACTATATCACCTGAGTGTCATGGCGATATCTATCGGGGATATTTATGTGATACTAAGGAAGTATCATAATATCAGCTTTTTTTAATATCACTGTGACATTCCTGTGATATTGAGGGGATATGGCTGATATTAATATGGAGGTGATATTTTACAGAATTTTTTCTATAAGTTCAAATTTCAAATTATAATGGAAATTCGGTGAAATATCACCTCAATATCGCAGCTATATCCCCTCAATATCCCGCCTCAATATCGCAGCAGTATCTCCTCAATGTCACAGCCATATCCCCTCAATATCGCAAAAATATCACAGGGATATTTAAGAAGCGGACGTTTTTACACTTTTCCAGTATCACAGGAATATCCCCGACAGATATCGCCTTGACACTCAGGTGATACAGCGTGCTACTTGGGAAAAAATATGTATTTGCCTGAAAGAAATAAACAGTTTTGTCTATAATTTGGTTTGTAATAATAATAATAATAATAAATAATTTGTTTATTTATTTGACTTAAATTAAATATTTAAGTTCTTTATAAACATGTTTTATCAATAATAATGGTATAAAGGTTCGGTTAGAGCAAATTGAAATTTGATTATTTATCGTTTTTTATAGTTTTAAACCTGCAATAAAAGATATAAAACTGCATGTCTCCAAACAATTTACCACATGACAGCATAGTTCTTAATTTACACGCAATTTTACTAACATTTTTCATTGTTTGGTTCATTTTGACACGATGTTGATTATATAGGTTAAAGGAAAATTGGCTTAAAAATACTATTTTCAAATATTGCTTTTTTTACAAACTTTAGTTAATTTATAAAAAATATATAAAAATTAAGCTGTACTTATAATTTGGGAAGATAATAATTTATTTATAATTCACAAGTATAAATAAAAAATGTAATAATTTTACTGAATTTACATATGATTTATTATTTATATAAGTTAAGAATAATTAAATAAATATATTTTTCCAGCCAGAAAGGTGTTTCCAGATTTTCGAGCGAATTTTTCATCCAGTTAACCATGTCGAGTAAAAAAAGGTATATGAATTTAAGTACTGATGATTACAAAATTATAAATACTGAGGGGGAAATGCTTAATGATAATCATATGTTTAAATTTTTAGAATTGTTAGAAAGGGAATCAAATTCAGTTGTTTGTATGCAAAGTACATTACTTTTACAAACACTTGAATTGATTCATCCTATTGAAAAAATCAAAAGTATATTCAAATACTTTTCAGTGGTCGTTTGGATAAAGGTCATTGGATTTGTACTTATTATGATGGGAAAAAAAATATATTTTTGATAGTACTAATAGAGGGTTTTTAACTGCGGACGAAATAGAATATTTAGTTAGGTTATATCCTTTTAAACCACCAGTAGTTTTTGTGACAGTTGATGAACAACCAAATGGTGTTGATTGTGGTGTATTTTCAATAGCTTTTACAACATCTTTATTTTTTAATAAGATGCCGAATGTTCTTGAATACGATCATGGCAAAATGAGAAAGCATTTGAATTTAATGTTTAAAAATAACCGTTTGAGTAGTTTTCCGTCTAAAGAAACTTCCGATTTTCGATCCACGTTTGTTGAGCATGATTGGAAAAAGCTTTCTATTGATCGATCTAAGAATCTCTTTGTTAAAAAAATAAATTTCCCTAAGTTGGTCCCTGTCAACGAGGTAAGTAGAATTATATCTCTTGAGCATTCAGAGATTAACCTTTCTTCACCTGAAGAATGTGAAAAAAAGAAACTTTGTTTAATAAAAGATAGAGAGAGAAAGCGAAAGGAAAGAATTGAAGAAACATGTGAACAAAAAAGAAAACGACAAGAGGAGGATAAACAAAGAAAACGTAGCCGTAAAAATAATGATGTTGAAAAGAAAGAGTGCCAAGAAAATAATTCAGTGATTAACCTTTCTTCACCTGAAGATAGAGAAAAAATAAAACTTCATTTAATAAAAGACAGAGAAAGAAAGCAAAAGGAAAGAATTGAAGAAACAAGTGAACAAAAAAGGAAACGACAAGAAGAGGATAATCAAAGACAACGTAACCGTAAAAATAATGACGTTGAGAAGAAAGAGTGTCAAGAAAATAATTCAGTGATTAACCTTTCTTCACCAGAAGATAGTGAAAAAAAGAAACTTTGTTTAATAAAAGATAGAGAGAGTAAGCGAAAGGAAAGAATTGAAGAAACAAGTGAACAAAAAAGGAAACGACAAGAAAAGGATAATCAAAGAAAACGTAACCGTAAAAATAATGCCGTTGAGAAGAAAGAGTCAAAAAAATAATCCAGTGATTAACCTTTCTTCACCTGAAGATAGTGAAAAAAAGAAACTTGACGAAATAAAAGATAGGGATAGAAAAAGAAAGGATAGAATTGAAGAAACAAATGAACAAAAAAGGAAACGACAAAAAGAAGATAAACAAAGAAAACGTACTAGTAAAATATATGATAAGTTGGAGACATTAGGAGCTGCAATCATTCCTTTTGAAGACTTTGATGAAAATAATATTTCAAAAAATTATTTTTATCCCACATGCACAAAAACGGCGCTTTCTGATAGCAGCCGACAGGGAGGAAAGTCATTCATTTCTTCGACCGTATGAAAATGGCGGCCGTGTTCTCCCAAGGGCAAGAAAATTAGCTGTTCACATGCATTTTTCTTGCCCAAGGGAGAAATCGGCCGCCATTTTCATACAAATCGAACAAGTGAATGACTTTTACTCCCTGTCGTCTGCTATCTGAAATCGCCGCTTTTGTGCATTAGGAATAAAAAATATCGTAAGTAACACGAGAATAAAGGCAGACAATTTCTTTACGATGATTTTTGTGACACGAGTGGAGGTCGAGGGCGCCGTAGGCGCCCCGAGACCGGAACGAGTGTCACAAAAATCACCGTAAAGAAATGGCTGCCTTTCTCCTTTTGTTGCTTAATATACTATTAGGTTTAATGAATGTTGAATGTGAATTTTGTAATTCGTTAAATTTTATGTGTGAAAGACCGGCCGATAAAAAATTTAGTACTTGTTGTCATAAGGGGAAAGTAAAATTAGATGAGTTAAGTCCTTATCCATTGTATTTAAAAGATTTAATAATAAGAAATATTGAAATGTGGATTAAACGCGACAGATCACTGAATCAAAAAAAATTTAATGTTCCATCTTGTAATGAAGTAGCAGTTGTATTTGTTAGTGAAGATGGTGAACCTCCAATGGAACGTGATATATGTATACACCCAAAAGATTCGAAAAGTATACCAATTTCCACTCTTAGTCCAAATGTTGATCCTATGACATATCCTATAATGTTTCCCGCAGGTGATCCCGGTTGGACTGTAAACATTAAGCATACGCAAGGTAATCGTAATGTAACTCCCCTACAATTTTATATGTATCGTCTTTCGTATAGAGGAACTTTTAATCCTTGTTTAGCATTAGGAAAATTAACTCAGCAATATATAGTTGATGTATGGTCTAAAGTTGAAGGCGAACGTTTAAAATATATTCGTTTACAGCAGAAAAAACTCAGAGCGGAATTATACTGCGGATTAATGGATTATATAAATAATAAAGCAAAAGATGAAAATGTTCGACCAGGAAAAATGATTATTTTACCTTCAACATTTATTGGTGGACCACGTTCTTATCAACAATCTTTTATGGATGCTATGCGATTAGTTCAAGAATTTGGAAAACCAAGTATTTTTCTTACTATGACATGTAATCCCAAATGGTCTGAAATTACTGAAAGTTTGTTAACTGGTGAAATTGCATCTGATCGGCCCGATATTGTGGCTAGAGTTTTTCAACTAAAAGTAAAAGAATTAATAAAAGAAATAAAAGACAAAGAAATATTTGGAACAGTTGTTGCATTTGTTTATGTAATAGAGTTTCAAAAGCGTGGATTACCGCATGTACATTTAATTTTATTTTTACGTAATCCAATTCGCGATGCAGAAACAGTAGATCAAATAATATGTGCAGAAATTCCAGATGAAACAAAAAATCCTGAACTATACAGTATTGTAAAGCAATTTCAAGTTCATGGACCTTGCGGAAATCAAAATATGAATTCACCTTGTATGGATCCTGAGAAGAAAGTTTGTACAAAACGTTATCCGAAACCGTTTTGCTTAGAAACAAATTATCATTCTAAAAATTATCCAGAATATAGACGAAAAAATGATGGTAAACAAATTATTTTTTATAACAAAGGTGGGTCTATTAAATGCGTTGCAGATAATTCGATGATTGTACCATATAACCCATATTTGAGCAAAAAATTTGAATGTCATATTAATCTTGTAGCATGTGGTAGTACAGGTGGAGTTAAATATTTATTCAAATATTGTTATAAGGGACATGATTGTGCAATAGTAGGTTATAAAGATGATAATAATAAGGAAATGCAATATGATGAAATTATACATTATTTAAACACACGTTATGTATGTCCACTAGAGGCAATGCATAGATTATATGAATTTAACATGCATGAACAATCACATGCAACGTATAGACTTGCTGTACATTTGCCTAATCAACAGTCAATATGTTTTAAAGAAGGATTAGAGGAAGAAGCAGTTGATAAATTTAAAAATACGACATTGACAGCATGGTTTAAATTGAATGCAGAAAATCCTGAAGCTCGAAAGTATTTATATGCAGAAATACCACATAATTATTTTTTCGTTGAGTCATCAAAAACTTGGAAAATAAGGGAACGAATCAATAAACCTTTAATTTGTCGTATGTATTTTGTTAGTCCAAAAGATATTGAAAGATATTATTTAAGAATTTTGCTTCTTTATGTACGTGGTGCAACATCGTTTGAAGATATAAGGACATACGAAGGTATTAAGTATAACACTTTTACCGAAGCAGCGCGTGCAGGAAATTTGATGATAGATGATAATGAATGGGATAATTGTTTGACTGAAGCTGTTAGCATGAAATTTCCTAAAAAACTTTGTCGTCTATTTGCATATATATGTGTGTTTGGGTTGCCTGTAAATGCTGTTGATTTATGGAACAAATATAAAGAGCACATGATTTTCGATACTAACTTACCGGTCGAAGTAGCAATTTAAAAATCATTAGTTTTAATTAACGAAGTACTTATTTTTCATGGATTTATGTTACATCAATTTGGTTTGCCAAATATTGATGAAAAAATGATTAAAATTTATAATTCTAATGTAGATAAAGAAAATAATGAATTATCATTACAATTGCTCAAAAAAGAATCTGACGCTCTTATTAAAAGTTTAAATGATGAACAACGGCAAGTTTTTAATGATGTTATGATGGCCATACATAATGATGAATATGGTAGTAGATATTTTTTTCTTGATGGGCGTGGAGGAAGTGGTAAAAGCTACTTACACAATACAATTATTACTAAAGTCGAAAGTGAAGAAATGGTAGTTCTATCAGTTGCTTGGACTGGTATAGCGGCTAATCTTCTAAAAGGTGGACGAACGTCACATTCTATGTTTAAATTTCCTATACCAATCAATGAAGATTCAACATGTAATGTAAGTGGAATGTCGAAACATGCTGAACTTTTAAGGAGTGCAAAAATTATTATCTGGGATGAAATTACAATGGCCCCAAAATATGCTTTACAAGCAATGGAATCTATGTTAAGAGATATTACAAAATGTAATAAACCATTTGGAGGAAAGGTTATTTTGCTTTCGGGAGATTTCCGACAAACTCTACCAATCGTTCCACATGGTAGTCGTACTCATATTGTTGAGGTATGTGTGAAAAATAGTAAATTATGGCATCATTTTGAAACTAGATGTTTACATGTGAATGTTAGATTAGATAAGACACAAGTAGAGTTTTCGAACTGGTTATTAAATGTCGGTGATGGTAAACCGCAGAGTATGTTTGAAAAAGAAAATAATGTTTTAGAAATTCCGCAGAATTTAATTTCGAGTGGGAATTTAATTGATGAAATATATGGATCATCAATAAGTCTAAATGATGAGACTGTATATTCTTCTTGTATTCTTTCGTTAACTAATGCTGAATTATTAGATTTAAATGAACGCATTTTATTAAAATTAGAAGGGAAAGAAATAGTGTATTATAGTAATGATTCACATATTGATGATGAGGACCCAAAAGATATAAACAATGTTATCCCAATAGAATTTTTAAATAGTTTAACACCAGATGGTTTACCTCCTCATAAATTATCGTTGAAGATAGGATGCATAATTATGCTTTTGAGAAATATGAATTTAGTTCAGGGATTATGTAATGGAACTAGATTAGTTGTAAAATCTTTAATGAAAAACGTGATTTCTGCCGAAATACTTAGTGGAAAATTTAAAGGTGAAATAGTTTTTATTCCTCGCATTGATTTGTCTCCTTCGCAAGATACATTTCCGTTCAAAATGGTAAGAAGACAATTTCCAATTAGACTTGCTTATTTGACCGGCGCGGTATCAACTCTACACATTTTAATTGTATACAGTGCAACTGAACACCGTTAATTCTATACAGTTCAACTCTATACATACGAATTTTAAAAAAGTTTAATTTTAACTCTACACAGTTTAATTAAATACGCGTTAGTTCTGCACAGTTCAACTCTATACAAATAAGTTTTTAAAAATTAATAACGTTTAACTGTATACGGTGCAATTGTATACAGATTAATTTGATAAATTTTTAGTTTTTAGACTTGTTTAACTCTATACAGTTTAATTAAATACACGTTAATTGTGCACAGTTCAACTCTATACAAATAAGTTTTTAAAAATTAATAATGTTTAACTCTATACAGTGCAATTGTATACAAATAATTTTGATAAATTTTAAGTATTTAGATTAATTTAACTGTATACAGTTCAACTCTATACAAACGAATTTTGAAAAAGTTTAATTTTAACTCTACACAGTTTAATTAAATACGCGTTAGTTCTGCACAGTTCAACTCTATACAAATAAGTTTTTAAAAATTAATAACGTTTAACTGTATACGGAGCAATTGTATACAGATTAATTTGATAAATTTTTAGTTTTTAGACTTGTTTAATTCTATACAGTTTAATTGAATACGCGTTAATTGTGCACTGTTCAACTCTATACAAATAAATTATTAATAATTAATAATGTTTAACTCTATACAGTGCAACTGTATATTTTTTTAGGTTCGTTAAATTCCATACAGTTCAACTCTACACAGGCATTGAAAAACAAATTAACATTTTAATTATATACAGTTTAATTAAATACGCGTTAATTGTGCACAGTTCAACTCTATACAAATAAGTTTTTCAAAATTAATAACGTTTAACTCTATACAGTGCAATTGTATGCAGATAAATTTAAGAATTTTTAATTTTTTAGATTTGTTTAATTCTATACAGTTTAATTGAATACGCGTTAATTGTGCACTGTTCAACTCTATACAAAAAAGTTTTTAAAAATTAATAACGTTTAACTCTATACAGTGCAATTGTATATTTTTTTAGGTTCGTTTAATTCCATACAGTTCAACTCTACACAGGAATTGAAAAAAAATTAACTTTTTAATTCCATACAGTTCAATTAAATACACGTTAATTGTGCACAGTTCAACTCTATACAAATAAGTTTTTAAAAATTAATAACGTTTAACTGTATACGGTGCAATTGCATACAGATAAATTTAAGAATTTTTAATTTTTTAGATTTGTTTAATTCTATACAGTTCAACTCTATACATTACTGTCCATACAATAATTAAAAAATAAATGCAGATCAGAAACATGCATTTATTTTTTAATTATTGTATGGACAGTAATGTATAGAGTTGAACTGTATAGAATTAAACAAATCTAAAAAATTAAAAATTCTTAAATTTATCTGTATGCAATTGCACCGTATACAGTTAAACGTTATTAATTTTTAAAAACTTATTTGTATAGAGTTGAACTGTGCACAATTAACGTGTATTTAATTGAACTGTATGGAATTAAAAAGTTAATTTTTTTTCAATTCCTGTGTAGAGTTGAACTTTATGGAATTAAACGAACCTAAAAAAATATACAATTGCACTGTATAGAGTTAAACGTTATTAATTTTTAAAAACTTTTTTGTATAGAGTTGAACAGTGCACAATTAACGCGTATTCAATTAAACTGTATAGAATTAAACAAATCTAAAAAATTAAAAATTCTTAAATTTATCTGCATACAATTGCACTGTATAGAGTTAAACGTTATTAATTTTGAAAAACTTATTTGTATAGAGTTGAACTGTGCACAATTAACGCGTATTTAATTAAACTGTATATAATTAAAATGTTAATTTGTTTTTCAATGCCTGTGTAGAGTTGAACTGTATGGAATTTAACGAACCTAAAAAAATATACAGTTGCACTGTATAGAGTTAAACATTATTAATTATTAATAATTTATTTGTATAGAGTTGAACAGTGCACAATTAACGCGTATTCAATTAAACTGTATAGAATTAAACAAGTCTAAAAACTAAAAATTTATCAAATTAATCTGTATACAATTGCTCCGTATACAGTTAAACGTTATTAATTTTTAAAAACTTATTTGTATAGAGTTGAACTGTGCAGAACTAACGCGTATTTAATTAAACTGTGTAGAGTTAAAATTAAACTTTTTCAAAATTCGTTTGTATAGAGTTGAACTGTATACAGTTAAATTAATCTAAATACTTAAAATTTATCAAAATTATTTGTATACAATTGCACTGTATAGAGTTAAACATTATTAATTTTTAAAAACTTATTTGTATAGAGTTGAACTGTGCACAATTAACGTGTATTTAATTAAACTGTATAGAGTTAAACAAGTCTAAAAACTAAAAATTTATCAAATTAATCTGTATACAATTGCACCGTATACAGTTAAACGTTATTAATTTTTAAAAACTTATTTGTATAGAGTTGAACTGTGCAGAACTAACGCGTATTTAATTAAACTGTGTAGAGTTAAAATTAAACTTTTTCAAAATTCGTATGTATAGAGTTGAACTGTATAGAATTAACGGTGTTCAGTTGCACTGTATACAATTAAAATGTGTAGAGTTGATACCGCGCCAATCTTTTGATAAAGTTGGAATATATTTACCTATATCAGCATTTGGTCATGGTCAAGTTTATGTTGGTTGTTCTCGAGTAAAATCTAAAAAGCATCTGAAAATTCATGCTGTAGATTCTGCAGTTTATCAAAATTTAGAGTTTCCACAGAAACTATATATTAAAAATATTGTTTTTGAAGAAGTACTTCAATAGAAAGTAATTATTCTTTTAATTAGTTAACGATTGTTTTGATGTTGATAATAATGACAATTTTAATTACTATTTTGTTGATATTGGTGATGATAATTCTGATTATTATTTTGTTGATGATGATAAAGGTGATGATAATTATGACGATTATTTTATGATGATGAAGATGATGATGATAATTATGATGATTATTTTATGATGATGAAGATGATTATTTTACGATGATGATGATAATTATGACGATTATATTATGATGATGATAATTATGACAATTATTTTATGATGATGATAATTGTAACGATTTACAATTATCGATTTATTTTGTTGATGATAATAGTGACGATTATTTTGTTAATTGTGATGATTTACAGCATAAAATACTGATTTAATTTTATTAATATTTTTAGTATAATGTTAACAAAGTTTTAGAAAAATTTTATGCTTTGAATTATTCTAATTTATTCTAATAAAAACAATCGTCAACATATATAAAGTGAGTAATATAGTTTTTCTTATTACATAAACTACGAATGTATATTCTTTTACTCAAATAATAATTTTTATTACAGATTGCGAACGAGCCACTACAATTATTCTGTATTTAAAAAGAGGAATCGTTAATTGCCTGCCGATTGGTTGATTACTGGCTGAGAAATAATAAAAATGTGGATAAGGATCAAAAACAGTTAAAAGTAAATAACTAAGAGGTTATAATAATTTATAATAATAATAATTATATTGTTATATAAAATATTATTATTCTTATCATCGTTATATTAATTATATTATCACTTGTCAAAATCTGTATTATTTTCAACCTAAACATGGACTAGGATATCATGAACATTACTTTTCATTTAGTTTGTTTGAATTACTAAAAATTTAAGTTGTTTATTTAAAAAATATACTTTAATTAAACTAAATTATAAAAATATTAAATTATAATTTTTAAAGTTTACCATACAATTTTTAAAGTCTTTTTTATTTAAATTTAATTAATTAATACTTTATGAACTTTTCAATTTCTTTTTATTTTTTCTTTTCTCTCATGTTATTGTTTTCACAATTAATTTTTTTTAACAATTAACATGAAAGTTTAAGGTTTCAGAGATATATCCATATTTGTTATTAAAAATATGTTACTCAGTGTAAATAGATATATTATTGAAAAATTCCTCTTTACAGACATTGCATTATGATACAAAAGATCACCTTTGGTTAAGGAGGAAAAAGAAAATTTGGACACTGATTGCTTTCAAAATACCACGAGCCTTTATTATTCAATGTGACTTCACCTGCATTTCATTGAGAATTCGTATGTCATTATCGAACCTATTTTCAAATGAAAATTCGTGCAAATCCCGTACAAATTTTAATTGTACGGGAAATTTTGAATTTATTTAATCTTCAATTTTGAATTTGTAATTTCACTTTTAAGACAACAAAATTTTATTTAAAATGTTAAAAACAGTTATGTACAAAGTAGTAAGTGCAATTTTGTATTAATAATAAAAATTGATTTTTCGATTATGCATAAAATTATTTTTTTTATTATATATTATAATTTTCATTTATTATTATTTTTAATTTTTAACATGAGGGTGATTTCTTGAATTGGCCTGACTAGTCGAAGCCACTATATAAAGAAGAAGAAGAAAAACATAAGGGTGATACTCCGAAAAGATTCATTTTTGTTTAATGAAATAAATGAAAAATTAATTTCTTAAGCTCTGAAATATTTAACATTTCTGTACATTGATCATGTAAAATTAGAACTTTTACAAAGGATTTTTCTTTCTAAAATTTAAAAAAACCACATGTTAAAAATTGTTACATGTTTTTTTCAACATTTAAGACCAATCAAATTTAAAAACAAGTTTCTTGATTTTATAAAAATAATTTTTTCAAAAAGAAATTTTTTCAAAAATTATATTGTTTAATTTATTAATTTAAATTTCAATAACAAAATGTACATATTCATTTTTCACCGGCATAATGAAAGGAATTAATAGCTATTCAATAATTTTTATCCGAAAGAAGCCATTATCCAATAATTTTAATCTGAAACAAACCATCACACAAAGAATACAAGAAGTCAGGAATGAAGATTAACATATTTTCCTCTTTTCATTCTATAGCAATCGATTTTTTGCAAACTTAAAAGTGATTGGACAGTCTTCTGGTCAAAATCTGGAATAAAGTATAATTTATATGGTATTTGTTATAAAATTTTTATTATTTTATTTATTGGTATAAATAAAATACTATTTATAATTATTAATTTATATTTTTGTGTTAATTTAAATATTTAAGACTTATGAACAATATTACTTTACCATTAACACTTGAATCTAAGAATGAAAAATTCGCATGCATATAGGATCGAATTCTAGACCTTGGAGACACAATTAAACGCTTGCGTAGAATTTTATAAATTTTTTTCAAATAATTAAATACTATTGCAAAATTTTATTAAAATAATAAATATTAAAAATTATTTAATTTAATTGAGGAAACTTTTTAAATATAATTAAAATTTTGCGAAAAATGTTATTAAAATTTTCGAAAATAATTGAATTTTGAAGAAGAATTTTAATATTTCTATAGATAATTGAAATTTTGACGAGAATTTTTTAAAAATCATTTGTAAATTCTCTAAAATTCGCCAAATTAATTAATTATTATATAAAAAAAATTCCCGGTTTGAAATAAATTAAAGAATTAAACGCCCAAGTCTCGTCACCGTTGCATTTTGATTCACTATCAAATGAAGGTAAACTCCGTACGGATTGCTCCTATGAAGTTCCTTTTCTTGAGCATTTTCAATTTTCAGGATCTATTTAAAAATTGTAAATAATAATTATTATTATTAATAACAATAAATGAATATATTGTTTCAAACAAATCGAGAATTAAGCAGCCAAAAGTGGATAAGTGCATTTTTACTATTTCGAGAAATTTAAACAAATGCAATTTTACACATAACCAAAGTTAATTTCAAAATAGAAAAAATATATACACATTTTTTATATCAGAATACTTTCTTAGACTTAGAAGTCTCATTATTAATTAAAGTAAATTATAAATAATGAATTTCATAATTTAGGGCATAGTTAAAAAACTAAAATTTTAAATCTTGTTGGTTAAGTACAAAAATTTTTAAATTAATATAATTCTTTATTAACAATATTTTTCTTAATGTAACAGTGATTATTTGGAAATTTAATTAATTAATTATCATTCTCGGAAAATGCAAAGTAAAAGTTTTTTTTAAAAAATGAACTTTTCAACTTTTGGCCCCTTGCTCCTCAATTGAAATTAAATTCTTACATTATTAATTTCCGCATTTGTTTGCAGCATATGAATGTTACCATTGAAGGCTGTTACTTGACAACGTTTTCCATTAAAATCTTTTAATATGAATGTAAAGAACTCATATCTGTGCTGAGTTGTTGGGTTTGTCAAATTTCGTAATCCCATTATGGTTTGAACATAACCAGTAAAAGTTCTGTAAAATTTACGAAAGAATTCAATTATTATTTTTAAAAATTTTAATAAATCCTTTGAAACAGTTTTATTAATTTTATAAGAAGTAAAATTCGTCGCAAGAATGGAATTATTTTTTATAAATAATAAAATTCTTCTGAGGAACTTAACAAGTTAACAATTTTAATGAACTTCATCAATCAAATATTTTAATCATAATTATTGTCCGACAAGATTATTTAAAAAATTGAAATACATTATTTGTTTAAGTCAATTATTTTCAAAATACATTTAAAAAACTACATTATTTTTATAAAAACTTAAATAACTTATTTAAAAAAATTTAAATATTTATATTTATTTACAAAAACTTTAATAAAATTGTTTAAAAGAATTTATTTTTTTATCAATAATTTTAATTAAATTTTAATAGTAAAACTATTAATTAAAAATATATATTTTAATGTACTATATTTTTTATATTAACTATTATAAAACACTTACCCATATGTAGCACTATTAGCCATTTGAGCGACTGTTTTGTAATTATAATACTTATTATTATAATTGATCTTTATATAAATACTTATTTATTATATATAAATACTATACTTATTTAGGGTTATCCCCGAGTTAGTTCCGACCATTAATAACATTCTGTTGGATCCAACAAAACACCAATAGCCCAGAGTTAACTTAAGGCGAGTGTCCCCAAAAAATACATTGTGTACGAAACTTTAGAATTATGTATAAGGGTGCGATCCCATGTGAGCAGAAAACGTCGATCAAAAACAGAGAATCATGAGTGCAAAAGAGATAGCTAGATATTGTTGTTCTTTTCACTTTTATAATTTTCTGCTTTCGATTAACGTATTCTGCTCAAATGGGATCGCACCCTTAAACTTTAGAAGTAAAATACGCACCTAAGGTACATCTTACGCGCCCAACCCTGGTTCTTAGTTTCAATTTCAAAAATTACAACATATAACCTTTCCAAAATTAAATTTTATATTGAATAATTATTCAAAAGTTCTTAGAGAATTTAATTATTTAAATACAACATTTCAATGTTTTATAATACTAATACTGCTTTCTAAATTTGAATCAGTTGAAAATCATAGTTTTCATTAACTGACATAACCAACACCAACCAAGCAACCAACCTAATTAACTGACAATGGCTGTTTTCGGCACTCGCCCCGAGTTAACTCCGGGTCAATGGTGATTGGTTAGACCAACAGAATGTTTTTGATGATTGGATAATATTTAACTCGGGGTTAACCCTGGGTCAGTGCCGAAAACAGCCATTATCGACATACATATCATTTTTTAATACATTTGCAGCTAAATGGAATTTTCTAACTTCATCTTCGCAAAGTTGATGTAAACATCTTATAGCTAAAAATTATTACGAAGCTGAACCGAAAGTTACTGTATTTAAAGTGTACTCACGGATTTCGTTACATATGACCTATGACCTAAATTTATATGTTCATCTATAACTGCTATATATTGAGTTTTAAATGCATCATTTGATTCGAATCTCTTTTAAAATAATAGTAATCGTTTCAGAGCTACTTTCCGCGATTCGCCTAGGTTTTTATTTGATCTAAATGGGAGAGCTACTACGAATTTGCCATTTACATTTCTTTTAGTATGATCTTTGAAATGCCTTTCGCAATATGATTCATCTTCAATTTCGTAGACCCGATCCGAAGTACGATTTATAATTTTATAAGGTCCTGCGTACGGACATTATAAAGGTTATTTTAGAGCTCTAATTATTCTCACAAAAACATGAGAGCAAGTCGACATGTTGTTAAAAACAAAAATTTTACGCTTGTGATGGTGTGAGACAGGGACCGGTTTGATTTCACGCATATGACTTCTGAACTCATCAAGAAACAAACAAGGCTCAGCGGAGAGATTATCCGGCAGAACAAATTCACCCGGTATACGTAACACCTTTCCGAACACATACTCTGCGGACGACGTCCCACAATCCATGACCGAGGTTCTTAATCCCAAAAGGACGGTAGGAAGAACTCGAGTCCAACTAGATGTAGAATGACACATAATCGCTGGGGTGTACCGTATCTTGAAATCCACGTGTCAACAAAAGCATGTGCGATGGTATTAGCTATGTCCATGTGAACATGCTCAAAACGAGAATCCGGAGCGACGAATTGAGCAGGTAGTAATATATTGTGTTTTGAGATTTTTGCTCTCTAGCACTCGACGCAATTTTTACAATGCTGTTTAATCTGTTTGTGCATTTCTGGACAAATGTAACACTTTCGTATGGTTCTATCTAATACACGAGCACTCGGATGTGTAAGAGAATGAAACGATTTAATGACTTTCTCCTGAAGAGGCTCTGGAATAAAAAGGCGTATACTATCACCGGCTATATCGCAATAAAGTTCGACATTTTACGGACCGTAGACGAATTTCCTTAACCTGATGGACCAATCTGATCTTGATAACGCCCTCTTCAGACTTTCATCAGATGCCTGAGTACGAGCAAGTTCCGCGAGATTAATTTCCGAATCAAAAATTATCGAATCGACCCTAGACAATGCGTCCGCAATAATATTTCCAGAACCCGCAAGATGTTCGATTGATGTGGAAAATTCGGAAATGTACGACAACTGACGTTGCTGACGAGGAGACGCTTTTTCGGATTTTTGTTTAAACGCAAGAATGAATGGTTTGTGATCAGTGACGATTCGAAACATTCGACCCTCTAGGAAATGACGGAAATATTTGATAGATTCAAAGATCGCGGTAAGTTCCCTATCATATGTGCTCTAATTTTTCTGAGCAGGTGAAAACTTTCTCGAAAAGAACGCCAAAAGCCTCCAGGATCCATCAATCTTTTGCTCCTGTACTGCACCCATCCCAAAATTTGAAACATCCGCAACGAGTCGGGTTTCAGCGTCGAGTTTTGGATGATAAAGAAAAATCGAGCTAGCAATTTCCTTTTTAATCTGCTCAAAAGCATTTCAGCTTCAGGGGTCCAATCTATTGGAGTCTTATCGTTCTTCTTAGAACCAGAAAGAAATGAATTAAGTGGAGCGAGTGTACGAGCAGCATGCTGGATACTACGCCTATAAAAGTTAGGAAAACCTAGAAACTTACACATTTCAGACACTGTTTTGGGTTTTAAATAAGATACGGTAGCCTGAATTTTCTCCGGAGTTAACCAAAAACCTTAATGATCGATAACGTGACCAAGGAACTCTAACTCATCACCGACATATTAGCTCAGTCGGATAGATGCTTTGCTTGGCGGTCGTTTAAGGACCAAGGGTAAGTACCCTTGGTTCGCGCCCATTTGGCTTGGTATTTTTCCGGCACGTGAGACAATTTGAGCGAGAGGTTCGACGTCGAGGTACCGTCGATTATTGTCCGGTACACACCATTAGAACTCGACTGTCGATAAACCGGTTGTACTTACTCAGGAGAGGTTTTCTATAGTTTCCCTCTCCACTAGCGGGAAAACACATCAGACGGGTGGTCCAGGCAAATGCGAGTACTCCTAATTTTCAAGTCGCTCTGAAGGCGCAAAATTTAGTATTTAAGTTTGTCAGGGAAAATTTGTAAGAGAAATTTACGAAAATGTAAAAACACTTGTATAGACAAGTATGTAAGGCTGAAGACAGGTGTATAAAACCAATAACTCTAACTCATCCCTCTCAAACTGACATTTATCGTCTGCGCAAATTAAAATCGACAAAAAACTTCGTCTAGATGTTTCTTATGTTCCAATGGGTTATTGGAAGCAATAAGAATATCATCTATGTAAACGTATACATATTCTAAGTCACTCAGGGCTTGAAAAATGTAACGCTGAAAAGTCTGAGCAGAATTTCGCATGCCAAAGGTTATCATAGGGAACTCGAACAACCCGAATGGGGTAATGATAGCAGTTTTTGGAATATCGTCATGAGCTACAGGAATCTGATTGTAGGCCATGTGGAGGTCTAATTTGCTGAAGATCGTTTTACCCGACAATCGAGCCGAAAAATCGTGCAAGTGTGGCACTGGATATCGATCCGGTTCGGTTACAGAATTAAGACGGCGATAAGTGTCACAAGGTCGCCATTGCCCAGATTTCTTAAGCACCATATTAAGTGGTGCTGCCCAAGAACTACTGGAGCGTCGACAAACTCCTGTATGCAACCAAATTTGGAACTGAGTCTTTGCTGCTTTCAACTTTTCCGGTGAAAGACGTCGAGGTCGTTCTGCCAAGGAAGGACCATGTGTTACAATATAATGGTAAACGATAGGAGTTGATTTGGTAATTCCCTGTGCCAGACCGGTAATCTCGGGATATTTTGCCAATATTTTAGCAAAAGGTATCTGGTGATTGACTGTGTTCACGCTACACGATAAGACTTTACGAACTTCGACATTAGTATGTAAATTAGTAATCGAGTCTATTAGTCGACGATGATTAAGATCGACGATGAGGCCGAGATTCGCTAATAAATCTGCTCCGATAATAGGATAAGGAACTGCCGCGACGTGAAAATTCCATTTTATATCCCTCCTGAGTCCTTAATCCAATGACATATGTTTTTCTCCGTAGGTTGAAATTTTCGAATTGTTAGCGGCGAATAGAAAAATATCCGTTGGTTTAAGTTTCGAATTTTGCTGGACCGGAAGTAAGGAAACATTGGAACCTGTATCGATCAAAAACAACAATCCGGATCTACGGTCGCGAACATGAAAACGCTTGGAGATAACGCCGAAACCGATTGTCTCCGAACGAGGAGGCGTATCTAGTTTAAAGATTTATTGTTGTTTCCTGATTTACTCGAATAAGAACAAGGCGATTTGCATTTCGTTGCTTTATCGCCAAACTTATGATGATACCAACAATTTAATTTCTCATTACTAGAAGATGAACGATTCCTATTATTTTCACGACCATTGCGAGATTTAGATCGAGAACAATCTTTGTTCGCTAAATATTATTATTCTTGTAAAATATATTTACTAATTTTTCCCGTCGACTTTCCAACGTCTTCAATTTTCCATAGATCTGGAATTTTTTCGTCAATTATTTTATTAACTTCATGTTTTCCCAAGCAACGAATTTCCGTATTTGATTGAATACATAATTCAAATGATGTTGTTCCTTGATTAAACGCCGGATTTACTGGTTTTGCCGCTACTCCGTCCAAATGAACAATCTATTTTTCAGAACATATTTGTATAATTTCAAAATAGTTTTTCGATCTTGAATTATATTTATTTAGTATAACAGAAATGCAACTCTAAAATTATTATGTAATTAATTAATTATAGTTATAAGAGTACTAATATATATTTTAACATTTTTTATATTTACTTTTTTATTTAAAAGAAAATTAATATTTTTTTTGCGAATGTAAAAACGGCAAGTATTATTTTTTAAATGAAATTATTAATTAATTCATTAAATAAAATTGAATTAAATTAAATAATAAATTAATTAAATACTATTAATATTTTAATAATTAAAAATACGAACCTCACTGGATTTAATAAATGGTAAAACTTTTTCGACACGTACAGCTCCCCATACTTTCACTTGAATAGTTTTTCCGTTGTTGTTATTAACTAAGAATTTCAATACTTTTTTTTGGCGTTCTCTTTCCCTATAAATTCAATGTCATTAATTTGACTGATGTATCCAATGAAACTTCTGAAAAAGAACACATTATTATAATATTAAATAATTAATATAATAAATAAATAACAATACAGTCAGGTCCCCATACTGTTAGATTCCAAACTGTTATGTCCTCAGTAGTGTTATGTTTTTGCATAACCTCCAAATTCAGAAGTGTTAGGTGACGTCATGTTACGTCACCAATTTTCAGGGCCGTATTCTTAAGCCCAAAGAAAAGGGGGCATATACTTCTAGGCCAAACTTGAGGTGTATATATTTACGTTCCTGAAAGGTGCGCAGTAGGCATACTTTGAGCACATAACAGAGCTGAGTCAGGAGGAGTGGGAAATTTCTGGAAATGTAACAGTATGGGGACCCGACTGTATAATACACCAAAAATTTAATTTAAATAAAAATAATAAATAAAAAAATAAGTAATAAAAACAACTTATGTTTCAAAAATTTGCAAATGTTAAGTTGTGTGCCTGTATATGATAAAAAATTATTGTACTGAAATTTACTTACATAGTCGAATCCTGATCCTTAATTTGTTCAATCATCTCATTCGAAGAAAAAGTAACAGGCGGCAAAAAATTGAAGTAATTTACATCCATTTCGAAATCAATTTCTTTACAACGATGGTAGTTAGTATTAATATTAAAATATATTAAATAACAAATATGTCTGTATAGAGAAAATTATACGCAAAGAAATGCTACGATTTTCAAATGTTTTATGTGGGATGGGAAAACATCAAAATATATAAAAATTCCAGGTTGTTTAATTTCTAAGAACCCAACTGCGCATGCACTCAAAAGAATTAAGATTGGATCTATTAGAACAACCAATCAACTTAATTTTCTGAAATAGAAAATCTTGGTCAATCGACAAAACTGTCCAAGGTTTCAGATTTTCGAAAATTAATTTGATTGGTTGTTCTAATAGAACCAATCCGAATTCTTTTGAGTGCATGCGCAGTTATGTTTATAGAAATTAACTAACCTGTAAATTTTCATGTTTCCCATAGTACAAAACATTTGAAACATTTGAAAATCGTAGCATTTCTTTGCATATAAATTTTTCCTTACAAAGAACAAAGACATATTTTATTGACAACTATCTGACATCATTTATCTGTTTAAATTATTATTATTTATAATATTTAAATTTGTCTGTGAGAAGAAATAAGTGATAAGTGATAGTTCAAGACCATAAAAAATGTCACAAAATCAAGACAATGATAAGAGCGTCCTGCCAGAAAAAATACTAACCGAAAGTGAAAATGGAGAAAATTGTGATGAAGAAATGAATGAAGAAGAAAATATTGAAGAACATTTTTCATCAAACGATGCTTTTCAAAGTGTGGAAGCTGAAGAATCCAGCGTGTAAATAAAAAATTATTATTTAAATATTAACCATATTAAAATAATATATTATTTATAATTATTTATAATTATTAATTATTAATTTCTGTAATTAGTTAATATTTAAATCTATTACTTTAATTTCGCAACTTTTTTTATATGAATTAGGTACATTGTGTTTTAAGTTAATCAGTGACAAAAAAGATTTAAACCATTTTAATTAATTAAGTATTATAATTTTATTTTCAAATATCAAAATAAAAGCGAAGGTCTGTGAAGGAAGGTCTGTGAAATTTTAAGGTTACAATTGTCGCCCGACAAAATACGGCACTGACTGATTTAAATGACGTGAAATAGGTAAATAAACATTTTTCAACCACTTTTTCTCTAAACACAGACACTTTTTACAAAATAGGCCAACATACAATTGGTAAGAATCTTCTTAATAACCTGAATTCAAAAGATTGTTTAAATTCATGCAGAAACGCGGTTGTCAAGCGGTTGTAAAATGTAAAATTGGAAATGATTGGAAAGTAATGTAATGACAGACAACAAGAAGCGGATTACTGCCAGTCGCCAGAAGAGGGCAGAAGCATGCAGAGAGCACAATGGTCCAGCTGTTATATTCTTAGCATTACATCACTTTCCAATTTTACATTTTACAACCGCGTTTCTGCATGAATTTAAACCATCTTTTGAATTTAGGTAATTAAGAAGATTCCTACTCGTTGTATGTTGGCCTATTTTGTAAAAAGTGTCTGTGTTTAGAGAAAAAGTGGTTGAAAAATGTTTATTTACCTATTTCACGTCATTTAAATCAGTCAGTGTCGTATTTTGTCGGGCGATAATTGTAACCTACAAATTTTACAGACCTTCCAACGCCGTTAAAACAAAAAAATGAAATAAAAATATAAAATTCGTATTGTGTTTTAAAAATATCCAACTACTTTTTTATACTTGTCAATGTATAGTTCATACAGGGAAAACAATATAAATATTTTGTGAAGAATTCTCACTCTAAATCGTGATAAATTATAAATTCTTATTACATCGAGTTATTACAAAAATAAGAATTATATAAAAAAAGATATTAATTAAAAAATTGCAGCTTTGAGTTTTTGTAGAAACTGGACTCAGTCCCCTACTTCGAAATTTTCACAATAAAGGAACGCAGGCGCGGAACCTGTCAAAATAAATGGCCGACGCGACGCGAAACGAGTGTTTCCTTGCATTCACTTTGTCTATTTTATATAAAAAAACAATAACCAATCATTAAAAAAAGAAAAACATGTTAAATGCACTCTTTATATATTCATATTCCTTAATTCACAAGTTTTATTCTTTCCACATCTTCATACTTACAATTAACAACTAAATACATCGGAAAATCTTACAATCATACGGGATTGAACACCTACCTAACCATACAACTAAATATACGCATAATTATAAATGGCATAATTATAATCTAGTTATCAATAATCAAGTAGAGCTTTACATGACTTTAAACTCGTTAACATACGAAAAATAATTTTTCTTTTTGACGAAATAAGCCATTTATTTGTTTAAAAAGTAAATAATTTGTTTATAACAAATGTAATTGTTTGTGCTAATAAATTTTTAGTTTTTGAAAGAATGTACATATTATATAAACATTTTATGTTTAAAAATTGGACAAGTGCGAGTTGAACTCGCACTGCAATGGCGGGTTCCGTACACAAATATTAAAACAATACTTGCAACATTTATCGGTAATTGGTAGAATTAAAATAAACAATTAAAAAAATATATTAATATCATTTGATAAAAAAAATAAATAAAAAAATTAAAGTATTGTATATATCTAATATTGTAATCAATAATACCGTAAGTGAGGCTAAATTCGCTCAATTTTTCAATTCTTTTTTAAATAACTTCGGGAAACGATGAAAATAAACATTGGCACTGAAAATATATAATCTTTAACCCTTTATCTTTCCTATTACTGCATAAAGAAATTGAAATATGTTGCAGAAAATTATTTATAAGCCGTTTTTTTGTGAGCGAATTTACCTTTAAATGATGGGTAAATTCGCTCACCATTATTATTCTGGCAAAATATATTATAATCTGCAAAAATGAAACTAAATATTCTTTAGAATCAATAAAGAAAAAAATTAAGAACAATATTCAAAGTTATTGGAATAAATATTTAATATTGTTTTATCAATAAGTAATTAGATTCAATCATTCAATCAAACGTACTCATAACCATAAAAAAACAAGGTTAAGTTTGACAGTTTAGTGCTTAAACCGTTTTAAATCGTTTAATTTTCAGTTATAAGAGTACTATTATTTCAAAAAATCGAATTATAAATTAAAGTAATTAACATACTTAAAATATCCAGGCCCAAACATCTTTTTTGTAGACTTATTTCCTGAGCGAATTTACACAACAAATTTGAATTTTTTTTTTTTAATTGATTTTTTGCAGAATCTGTTTATTGCTTTAATTTTTGTGCTTTATGAATATCATGTTGGAGATACAGGAAATGTAATGTTCAGAAGTATTCAACTTAAAAATTTTGAAGTAAAGCTTTATTTCCTACTTTTTCATACTACTTGTTCAATATGAAAATTATTCACTTGTGTTTTAAATATAATTTCTACTGAAAGTTACCAATGAATTTGCTGCAAATAAATTTTAAATTAAAGTTTACCATTTATATTAACCAAAACAATTGTAAATCTTAAATATTTCTGTCTAAAAAGTATGTTAATCGAATTTTAAAAAATAGACATCGGTTGAGCGAATTTACCCTACATGAGCGAATTTAGCCTCACTTACGGTAAGTAGAGGAACTAATTTTGAAAATTTTTTTGTTAAAAAATCTAAAAAAAAATTTTTTTAAATTTTTTTTTCGATTTTTAAATATATTTTTTGTGATCAGACTGTAAAAATAGACTAATAAACCCATTTTTAGTTAATTCGATCAAATAATGTAGAAATTAGAAAAAAAAATTTCAAATTTTCTTTAGTTTTTCCTTGACAACGCTATGGACATTAATACATAGCAAGTTCTCTATATTTTTCCTGTAATATTCGCGATAAAATACACCAGTATGCCAAATTTTAGCCCTCCATGTTGAATAGTTTAGAAGTTAAGGGGGGGAATGGTCACTTTTTATGCATTTTTGGCCAAAAATCTTGTTATTTCCTTGACAACGCTATGACCATCATCTCCAAACACATTCTCTATATTTTTCCTGTAATCTACGTGTGAAAATAAATATCTGTACCAAATTTGAGCTCTCTAGGTCAAATAGTTTAGCCGCTAGGGGGGGACACGATTTGGCTACGGACAACAGAGTCTCACCAATAGGGTTCCGCCGATACACCGTAGGTGTACGGAACCCTAAAAATGCATAAAATGTTTACAAATGTCAAAGAAACTTGAATATTATTCATGTAATCCTTATATGAAATCAGCAGATATGCAAATTAGGTAAAGAGAGACATTCTTATTGACATTGCCTTTAGAGAAAGAAAGAAAGGTAGCCGTTACCAGAGAAAGCGTTATCGGCGCCGTTATCCAGACGTTATCGAGACCGTTACCTTTGGAGTTTCTATTACTATATATATTATATATATATACATATAATAGACTTTTCTTTACATTTCCCTTGCGATGAAGGAAGAAAGAAAATATTACCTGGGTTCTCCGAGGTAATCCCCATTACAAAGGCTATTGTTTAAGGGTTCGTAATCCTTCTTAGGGTCAAATACAGGCCTATATATATATATATATATATATATATATATATATATATATATATATATATATATATATATATCTATGAGTGCGAAGAGGACACTCACGTTTAGGGCCTACCACCTAAATATAAGAACGAAAATTTAATTTAAAAATCATATCGTCGATTATTTTCCTTGGAGCACGTTCTACGTGTCTTCAACGAAATTGAAGTATAACAATTTTTTTGGGAATTCACTCACTATAGGTGAGTGAATAAAAAAGTTAAATTAGTGAATTATCAGTGAATACTTCGTGAATTAGTAAATAGTGATTTAGTGAATAGTAAGTATTAGTGAATATAATTAAATAAGTGAATATTAAATAATAATAGAAATACATTAAAATACTTTTTTCTAATTTTTTTCAATCATTTAAATAATTATGTATTTGAGTTGTGTTTAGTTTTCGAAGTTAATTAATAAAGTTAAAAAATTTTTTTTTTATGTTTATTAATAAATTAAAAAATTTGTTATAATTTGGAAATCGTATGTAATTGGAATCC